CCTCTCTCGTTTATGGTGACTCCTGCTGGTTGCTGTTGCTACTGGCTGGTTGGTTATCTTCATCACCTCCGTCTCCTCTGTGTTCATCTGCAGTAGTAGTTTCATTACCTGCTTCTTCTGCCATTTTGTTGGTTTTCGCTTGCGAGTCTTCGAGTTTGTGTAACGTCACATATATATCATCCACTCGTGAAATCCACATCTTCTGGAGTATTCTTATGGGTCGTCCAGCGTATTCCTGACTCCTCGTCCCTAACAGTCTGACGCATAATCCAGTCCACCACAATTATGAATATCATCAGTGATAATAGGCAGCTAGCCAGCTTGTCTTCCTCCTGTATTCACTTCGAACGCCTTACTGAGTTTTCCGTTGTGTATCACCTGACATGTGGCATTGTCATATAGCCAACTGTTGAATGAAGTTGACAAATACTTGTGGTACGCCGTAGTGTTGAAGTAGTTTCTAAATTACTTCTCGGTCAACGCTGTCTGTCGAAGGCCTTTTCGAAGTTGATGAAGTTGAGGTAGGTGACAATGCGTAGAGTTAAAACTTGATCAGCACATGATTTGTCTTTCCTGAATCCAACCAGCTTGCTCCGGTGGAGATGGCGGAGTTCTGTATCCAGTGCATCCAGAGCATGATTCCACGCCAGTCATTGCGCCGGCTTAAGTTGCTCTTTTTTAGTATTTTGACGAAGCAGCCATTTTTCAAATCACTAGGTACCTTTCCCTCTTTCCAAACTTTTTTCAGTAATGGAGCTAGTACATCCCAGTTTGACATTCATATCTCCCATGAGGATTTTGATGTCTCCACCTGGGATGTTGTCCATTACTTCTTGTAGTTGTCTGTAAACATCTACCTTCTTTTTCTGTTCCGCGTTGTTTGTAGCACTCAAAATAGCCACTCACTGCCTCAGTATGTTCGTGGTTGTCGTCTGGGTGACAGGAGTAGATTGCTGACTTTTGCAGACATACAACACTTCTATGTCACACCTCATTTCTTTAATTACAGGGGCAGCCTTCCCAGTCCTGTACATTGTACAGACACTCCAGCCCCCCTATCTTTTTCTTACTTTCATCGGGAGAAGACACATCGACTAGCTTACCGGCTTCCCGAAGACTTTCAACAGCCCAAGCCATTTCGCCTCTCCGACTTGAGCGAAGAATAAGATTACTATTTGAAGTTTTTATATTTTTAATAAATATTTTCTGTGTTGAAGTTTCTCTAGCTTTTCGAAAGATTTTGCGGTGTGGAGTTGCTGGCCCCACGCTTAACCCTCCCTCTTTATGCTGGCTTGGGACTCGCTAGAAAACTAGCGAGCTAGTTAACTGGGCGAGGTTATTTGTGGTTATAATTATGCCCTTTTGTTAGTGGTGGAAATCAGGGCTTCGGTTCATAAAAAGTACTGATTGATTTGATATTAGTGTTGAATATTCGAAACTTGTTTCGCATGATCAGTCCTGTGTATCTTCACACTTCCTTCATCCTCAAATCAGAGCCATACACAATGCTTCAGCACGAGTTGATTAATCACCTTTCGACGTCTGGAAGTCAGCACACACAAATTTTTTTCAGACGGATACCATGGAAGATGGGTCCTCATCACATCTCTCTTACTAAAGCATGGATAGTTGCGACCCCTCCTGGGAAATGATAAATAGGCATGATATATCTATGGGGACAAGATAACTCGCACAATTGTAAGTGAACTATACAAGTCCCCAGTAATCTCACTAACGGATATAGTGGCACAAATACAGCTAGAAGTGAGTAGTCGTGGTAAATTGCCCAGCAGACACCACCATGTTGTGGCGTGTGCTATTGATAAGATTTACCAGTTGTATATAAAGAGGCGCTCATCGGCATAAAAACATTAAATAGCAGGGAGTTAGATATGATGCCAGAGAAATCAAATGAGACAGCGTAGAGGGGACAGAGACATGGGAGATATGAAAGGAATACAAAGAAACACAATATGAAGGTGATAATTAACACAACACGGAAGATCTGCACAAACGGTGATATGAGGATAAGGTGTAGAAAATTTAGCCATATAGAGATACCATATTCCAGATAAACATTCTTATACCAAGTCTGCGTCTTCTACAATATGGCCAAGGAGCAGACCCAGGCAAAACGGATCAGCGGAAAAATTCTGTTGATATCACAGGCGATTTGGCGCAGGATCAAAGGGATGAACATACTTTTGTGCCTGGCCAAAACCACTCCGCAAGCAGCTGCGAAACTATTAAGTCCTTCCCAGAGGGCGACTATTGAGGAGAGCACGAAAGGCAGTTTATTCAATGCTAGAGATGACAACTGTGATTTAGACTTCTGTACTGGTAAATGAGATGCACTCAGTTTCATACCAAAAATGGCGGCCAAGCCGGAAGAATCAAAGTCCTCTGTCACTTTGTAGGCCGCCAAAAAATCCATGATAGCGACGTCTTGGAGGAAAACACCTACACCTGAGTTACTTAAGCAGTTGATGAGCACATACTGATAGAATAGTGTTTTATTTTTACCATCATATAAATGTGCGTCAGTGGCACAGTGGTTAGGACTCTCGCCGACCATGCACATGGTCCGGGGTTCGATCCCCTGCCGGCGCACACCCGATATCTATGGTCGGCCTGCGAAATTTGGGCTACCGATATCCATGCTGAAAGTTCCACACTTGTACTGAAAATACGGTGTGGAATCAAGCTGTAAATCAAAAATCAAAAAAAATTTAAAAAAATAAGCGCCAGAAGTTCGAGAGATGTGACTATAATATTGGAACATACACATAATTAATTTGATATACTCAATGGTAGGAGTTTTGAAAACCATTAAATTTGCAACAGATTTAAATACCATCGACGTACTGTTATAACTACAGAGAACAATCTCAGTTCAGCTTCTTGTCAAGATGCTACCCCGGGGGCTCTACAGAAATTCGTGAGACATCTTACAGGTCAGCTTGTCGTTCGGGTTTTACTTACGCACTATTTTACTCTATTTTATCTTAACTACCTAGGCCTTTATTAAAGCTAAAACTTACTCTTTGTTCATTTTTGTTGCTTGCTTAAAGTCTGGTTGCTTTGATTAAAAACGCAACAACACCAATGTTTGAACAAAGCTATATTTTCATCGGAAACGTCATAGATTCCTTGGTAAGACCAATATGGCTATCATTAAACATTGCAAATGTAAACTATCATTCCAAGGAGCATCCAGCTCCTTCTTGTATATATCCTGTAAATGTACTTCCAATGATGTATTATCCATAATTGTATTTTATGCCATTTTGCAGCTTCCCAGGACGTTCTTCTCTTCCTGAAATAGCTTTTAATCACATGGCGGCATAGCACTTACCCAAATATACGCTGTTCACTGGTTGACCATAACTATCAGCAGGAAACGGAACGAAGTTTGGGTTTTCGCTCAACTTTGATGGTGACTTTAGTGAAGGGTTTACAATTTAACATTTACAAGAACCTGTTCTGATTGCTTGTACAATAATCGAACAATTTAAACTTTTGAAAAAGTATTAATTTATGATACTTCACGAATGTAATTTATAACATAACTGATCGTGCCTGTAGAAATGGCATGCATTTCTTGTAAACTTACCCGTTTATACGAAATATAAATTATTATTATTATAACATATTTTTATTTGGTGAAATAATAACTTAACGTCAAGATGTGATAGAAAATTAAGTGTCTAGGATGTGGTCGAGATGCACACGCTAAGTGTTAAGACAAAATTCTTACTGTAATATCTTATTGTCTAGGAATAGGGCAGTAAAACACAGTAAATACTTCCCATACCCCATTATTCGTGGTTGCTGACGATTAACTACCGAGTGTTCATATGGGACTAGATTAATATGAAATTCTGAAGGTTGTAGATTAGAGTGATTAGATCAACAAAGTTGTGTGACCACAATTACCTACATGCTGATGACTACACGATGATGACAGTGTCTGTCCGTTTTCAACATAGAACTTTGCAACGACAAGTTCGAGTCGCCACATTCCCTCCTTGTAGCAAACAAAGCAAGCGAAGAAATGCAAAACAGAGACACTAAATAAGGATATCAGACAAAAAGAATAGTAATATTCAAGAACAGTATGGTTTTATTGGGTATTATTTGTCACAATGAGTGGATGGATCTGCGCCAGTCACTGAGAACGATTTTGAGCCATATCACCAATTTTTTCCGTCCTTCATTGGTTTTACCGTCCTGACGACCCCAACTAGGAAGCCAGTCTACACCGCCCTACATGACTGGCTTAGACTAACTGTTGTGGACTTCATTGACTGATGGAGCCGTGTTTGGTTTGAGCATCACTGGCTAACTCTTATCCAGCCTGACCCCATATCAGCTAACATGGCCCGCCGGTCGAGGGAGGCGATGGCTAGCCATGCATACGTAACACATGTCCTAACCATCTCAGTCGATGTAGCTTCACAGCCTCGTCGATTGATTTCCCCTCTCACCTACCTAGCACTCGACTGATGCCTAACCTCAGTGTATTGCTCACCCTACTATACCACTTCACCGGAGAGATAGAACGCAGGCACCTATGATTAAAGACAGCTAGCTAGCATTTTCATGTCTTCCGCTTTCAGTAGCCATGTCTTACAGCTGTAAAGGAGAACAGAGAGAACTGCTGTTGAGCACTGCACACGTCCTATGGTCAACAACCAGCCGGCTATCACGACTAATAAGCCAGAGAGGACGTCACTTGGTATAGGATGACAGTGTGCATACCTAAAAACCTGATTGTCCAAGTTGCGACAAAGCAAGCATCTTTGATAGTCCTGTTGAAACCTAAACAGCCAGACAGAAGTCTTCGACAGTTAATGACTTCTCCGTAGAGATTGATTAGTAGTGATGTAAGTAATGGGCACCCCTTCCCAAAAACTTTAGAACTAAACCCTACTCACAATGCTTAGCACCAGAACTTTTCAAAATAAGTAAAAAAGATAAAATTAACTTCAAATTACTATGCAAAGTTTTATTTACAAGGTCGATAGTTAGATAATAAAAAGTGTAGAGGGAGTCACTGTTTCAGCTGTCAAATTGTCAATTCTGATCACAAGGTATCCTATCAAACTATAGCAAAAAATGTTAGTAATGCATATATTCTCTAGAAGAAAATTTAAAAAAATAATTTAAAGGTATTAACTGTACAATGGGAAAAAGGGGAAGAGGAGAACCAGCACACTAGTCAAAGTTAATATTCTCCACAGCAGATGTTGAATTTTATTTTAACAATCCATAATGATTGGTTCGCCAAGTTTAATTCGTTGACCAGGTGTGACACACCATTTCAATTGATTTTTAGGCGCTTCAAATATTAAGACAACTGTAGAACCTAAACAGAAATGACCTAGCTCATCGCCTTTATTCAATTTCACACTATTACTATTATTATTATCATTGTTATCATTATTATTATTTGTAAATATTGCCTCTAAATATGGTGGATTATATTCTTGGTTTATTGTTCTGCTCACAAGATTTGTGAAACGATAACGCAGTGGATTATCCTGCTTTTTATTTGTACTCAATGTAGGATCGATGTTGACACGAATATTTCCAACACCGAATGCACCAACAGCTGTGAATGACATTAAACCGTGATTCCATTCACCGAGATAAACTACACGTTCATTGATTGCGTATAAGCCGGGTAAGCGTCCAGCTAGATTAGGACGAACTGAAAGCAATCTACCTATAAGTAAATAAATAAAGCAAAACAGTAATGACAGTAATAATAATAATACTATGATTGTGTGGTGAGAGCTGTCTACTAGCCAAATTGGTAGACAGTAATTTACGTCAATATTTACGTTCCCAAGGTTTGTCGTGAGAAAATGTGAACAAAGATTGATTCAAAACCGACCACAGCAGACTTTGCGTAGGCGGATGCAGTTAACATATAGAGGATTTGACATTCAAGAAACAGTCACAAATAGATGAAAGATTAACTTTACGTGAGAAACAACCAATCGGAAGACTGTGTTTGTTTACTTAAATATCCATAGTAATGTACATGCAAATATATAAATATGCGTTGATTTCCTTAATAAATGATCTGTTGCCTGAATCTTGCCTTCTGTCGTTACAATTGGACAATTAGAGAACACAATTTAATGCCATAATTGACAACGAACTGACTTTAAACTTGAACAAAGCAAGAACAACAATTGTAACAGGATAATATGAGCTCATCTTTTACTATTTCGAGGATTCTTCTCAACTGGTTACAACCTGAACGATAAAAAAATATGAATTACATTACATTAAACATTTGAACATACTTTTCCACGATCACAAGGAGTAAGTAATTTGTAGGAAGTAAAAGTAACATTAATCCGGAATGATTTAACTAATTAAGAGTTACAAACAGTGACTATTTATAGAATAATTCAAATGAACTGTGATCAATATTTGACAGTTTATAAATATTTATAGAATAATTAGGTAATTAGGCTTGGAAACAAAAACAGAGTTGCATATATATATATATATATATATGTATAGAAACAAGGTTTAGCTAGACAGAGCATAACAAAAAGGTAGATTACGCAACTAATTTTTTTTCCTTCACGTTCCCCAGTGGAACATAGGGCTTCAGGCTAGTGGCTTGAAGTTTCTGTAGCAGTGTTTATTTTACAGGATAGGATTGCTAGCCTCATGCCCAACCTTTCGTCTTTACCAGCATTATTTCTGGCTCAGCGAGTTAAAGGAGTGCGTCTGTGGCCGGGGATCGAACCCTGGACCATGTGCATGGTCGCCGAGCGTCCTAATCGCTATACCACCGACGCACGTAACTAATTACTTCCTACCAATTACTCCTTGTGATCGTGGAAAAGTATGTTCAAATCTTTAATGTAATGTAATTCATATTTTTTATCGTTCAGGTTGTAACCAGTTGAGAAGAATCCTTGAAATAATAAAAGATGAGCTCATAGTATCCTGGTACAATTGTTGTTCTTACTTTGTTCAAGTTTATTAATGAGAAGAATTGCATGAAGTTTTTGAAGGAACTGACTTTAGTTAGAGAATCATTGAAAACAAGCGAGTACTGGGGCAGCCGTTTCGTCCCTGTCCGGGATTATTTAGTAGTCAAAAATCATGACCAGTGGAGGTCCACCAACCAACCAGTGATACTGACTGGCGGCAGTCGCACTATATAGAAAATAGGTGGAGGTTAGAATTCACGCTCTAACCATTGGATACCGGTTCAAATGACTGAATGGTCCTACGAGCTCAACATGTAACCTTATTGATCCTAGGTGTGTACTGATGAAGAGTCCCTAACAAGGACTAGGCAGCTGCCGCCTTGTACCCCCCCCTGACTTTCAAATGGTTCGCTCAAACTGAAGCCATTTCGCGACCAACCTTGAAATCAATCACACTCCTGCAAGACAATACTTGACATTTTGATGCGTCGGTAGTCCAGCGGTAGAATTTCTGTCAACCACACCGACGCACTCTGAAACCATGAGCAGTTTACTAGCCAGTAACAGGTCAAGAAAAGAGGGTGGGGTTGAGCATGAGACTAGCCACTCCATCTCGTAAAAATAACACTACCAAAGCTCAAGTTTGACGCTTTATGTTTCACTGGGAACACAAAAGAAATGAAGCAAAGAGAGAGAGAGAAAAAGAGAAAGAGGATCTGATGGATAATGCTTTGGGTGCCTGAAATGAAATGGGTGCATCGTCAGAGTCTTAGTCAACGGGAACACACCATCACTCATTGAGAATCCGATTACTTCCAGATGACGAGGCTACGGTAGGACGAAATGTGAGTAGTAAATTCTAAAAATTAAAATTGTGCAATAAAATATTAATCACAGAGATTTGATATCAATGTGGTCAGTCGAATATGTGGATTCGTGAATAATAATCAAAGTGACCATAACAACAATAATAATAATAATAATAATAATTATTATTATTATGAAACGCATAAATTCATGTAAGTGCTTATATACTCTACGTAATCAATTGATGTGAATGTGTATATATTTGTGGGGAGGGGGTAGACAGAGAAAGCAACTATTATCATCTCATAGCAATTCAAGTTCAACAATCAGAAACTGAAGGACAAAACTACAAGGAATGCCTTCGCTACAGATCAGATCAGAGCAAAGTCGGACATACTACGTGGCATCACTGAAGAAACCTGCGTGGAAGAACATTGGAACTAACTCTCTGAAAACGATATTTAAGAAAAAACGTGTACAACTGTTCTAGGAAGAAGCAAGAGACCAGCCAAGACGAGGAATGGCTGTTAACGGATACCTACCTGTAAGCTGACCAAGGAGAGAAGAGGAGGATGGTGAAAGAGGAGATGACCCAACTCAAAGATGGACAACAGAAAGAGAACCTGAGTTAAATGTACACTGCGCTGAATAAAGAGAGAAGTGAAGAAAAGTGCTAGAAAAGACAAACTACAATTCTACGACACACTGGCTGGCAACTGAAGTAGAACAGGTCGCAGGAAAAAGAGACATCAGGACATTATATCAGACAACCAAGTCTCTATCCGGGAAGAGATGCTCAAAAGAACCTGATCACTAAGGAGGAGAAACAAATCAAACAATGGGTTGATCACTTTAAACGACTCTTGAATCGACCACCACACCAGCAACTCGCCCAGAAATACACCCCCACCAACAGCACCTTAACTTCATCGACTTCGAAAAGGCCTGCGACAGACAGCATTGACTGAGAAGTAATTTGGAAACTATTTCAACACTACAGCGTACCCCAAATCTTTGTCAACGTCATTCAACAGCTTGCTGGAAATATGACAGTGCCTGCCACGTGTCAGTCAGGTAATCCACAAACGAAAACTCACTCAGGGAGGCGCTCGAAGTGCATACAGAAGTAAGACAAGGCTGCCTATTATCACCAACGATGATATTCTTAATTGTGGTGGATTGGATTATGCGTCAGACTGTGAGTTTGGAGCGAGGAGTCAGGAATACGCTGGACGACCGATGAGAAGACTCTAGAAGATGCTGATTTCGCAGGTGATATATGTCTAATGTCACACAAACTCGAAGACTTGCAGGCAAGCGAAAACCAACAAACTGGCTGAAGCAGCTAGCAGCGAAAACAGGACTCCAGGTGAACATAGAGAAGAGGGAAGTGATGAAGATAACCAACCAACAGCAACATCAACAACAATAACCAGCACCAATCACCATCAACGAGAGAGATTTATATGAGGTTGCCTCCTTCACTTATCTGACTACGTAGCATCGTTTCAACTACAGGCACACGGAACGGACGAAGATGTCGAAGTCAGCCAGAATCGGAAAGGCAAGATACGCCTTCATCAACCTGAAACCAGTTTGGAAATCTTCCGCACTCAGCATAAGGAACAAGATTCACATTTTCAACACCAGTGTGAAGTCAGTTCTTCTATATGGGTCAGGAACTTGGCCTGTGTGTCAGGAAAAGGATTTCCGACAGCCAGCTGCAGACTTTCATCAACAGCTGCCTTCGCACCATACTGAAGGTAAATGGCCAGAAAGAATAAGCAACAAGAAACTCTATCTGGGAACAGATAGAGATACAGGCGAGAGCCGATCGCTCAACAAATATGTAGGAGAAAGAGGAGATGGATCGGGCATACACTGGGGAGGTCGCCGAATGACATCGCGCTCAATGCAGGCTATTGCTCGAGTGGAATCTCGGCGGGTAGCGCCAAGTGGGTCGTCAATGGGAGGGTGATATGGAGCAGATAGTGTGAAGAAGAGATGAGAGGATTTGGGCAATCGTGTACCCAACTGAAGAGGACGGCAGAAAACAGAACAAAGTTGAGATTGGTTGCTGAAGCCCTATGTTCCACTAGGAACCCAACGGAACAATAATAATAACTGAGTGACACACTAAGCAGTCTTCTCCTCAAGGGGAACCCGAATTGAAGACAACCAGTATGGAGTTCGAAGGAGACGACATGAAGGAAGCCATTTGTGAGGAGGAGGAAGAGTTGAAAGCATATGACGAATCGTGGGACCAATAGAAAACATAGTAAAATGGAGATATGATGCTGAAGTTCTATGTTCCACTTCAGATGTAACAGTTAAACTTGTACACAGTGAATTGTCATTAATGTTATTGTCATTTAGTGATAGAATGCAGGTCGGGTGTGAGGACAAATACTCGCCAAAGACGTTGGCTAGCAATCGCGCTATGTCACGAATTGGCAGGATGTAGAATTCATTTGCCATTGGCTTAACGGTCTTCTAGCCCGATGGCCTTGTAACCATAAGGTAGTGGGTCCCACCCCCCGTGATGGGTGCGTACTGCTGAAGAGTCCCAAACTAGAACTGAGGAAACAGCTGGCTGTCCAGTACTCCCTGCCTGGTTTTCCAATAGTTCTCTAACCGATTTCAGCTCATGATGAAATTCTGTCACCAGCAAAAAAAGAAAAGAAAGTATAATGATTTACCTGGAAAATGTCGTCTAACTGTAGGCATCCAATCAACAGGACTATGAAAACGATGATAATCACCAGGAGCCAGATATATAACACATTGGTAAAGTGTACTATCCGTCTTCTGTGGGTTAGAATTATTCAACTGGACGATTGGGCCAAGAAATTCATCAAGTGAATAATGGACACCTTTGATTTGTTCTAGCACTGGTCTACGGGGATCAATTACACCACAATGGAGTATTTTACCGTCGACAGGACTAACCTAGTGAAGAAGGATATGACAAACAATTGAAGATTTATTATATTAAGTAGTGACAAGTGAATTTTTATGAGAACTTTTAACCCCAAGAAGAAGAAAAAATACTACTAAGTGAGCTATTTCATGTATGATCACGGATTGATGTCAGTTGGAGAAACACTGAAAACCACCACAGAGTACTCGACAGCCGTTTCGTCCCAGTTTGGGACTCTTCAACAGTAGGAATCCTCGACTACACCGCTAGGGACCGAATCTTGAACTTTTAGGTTACGAGGTCAAGCTGGTTGACTATTAAGCTACTTGGCCAACGAATTATAAATTCTGTTATAGGCCGCCAGATGACGACCCAAGTGGCTGGTATGGTCAACCAGCTTGCCCTCATAACCTCAAAGTTCTAGATTCGATCCCTGACGGACTGGTTTCAACATGGAACTTTGCACAGATGTGCAGCAGTTCAAGTTGCCACACTCCCTCCTTGTAGCACACAGAGTAAAAGCAGAAAGTAAAAAGAAATGCAAAATAGAGACAGTGAAAAGAGATATGAGGCAGAAAGAGTAGTAATAACGAAGAACAGTACAGTTTTATTGAGTATTATAAGTTCACAATGATTGGATGCATCTGCACCAGTCACTGAGAACGATTTTGAGCCATATCACCAATTGTCTCCAGCCTTCATTGGATTTTACCATCCCGAGGACCCCAACTAGGAAGCCAGTCTACACCTTCCTATGTGGCTGGCTTAAACGAACTGTTGTGGATTCCATTGACTGACGAAGGCATGTTCTGGTTCGCCCACCACTGACTAAGTCTTTACCAACCTAACCCTATGTCAGCTAACATTGCCCATCGTTTGAGGAAGGCGACGGCTAGCCATGAATGTGCAACACATGTCCTAGCCATTTCAATCGGTGCAACTTCACAGCGTCGTTGATTGATTTCCCCTGCTTACCTCGCACTCGACGTCTAATCTCAATATTGCTCATCCTGATGAAGACTCTGACAAGCCTCTATCGACCAATCAGATGCGTCTGGAGCAGAATTGTGTTATTTACACAAAAGTTTATATAAAAGTTATGCAATTTTAGAAAACAGTTACGTAGAATAGCGTTCTTGTATATGCTTCAAGAAAACCTCCCAACTTCACATACAGGAGTCCTCATAGTTAGGTTAAACTAATTTCCGTACATAAATTAGTCAAGATAATTGTTAATCATCGTGTTTCTTGACCCACCCATTCACTGCTCTAATCCTCTTTTTTAAGTGACTCCAGAAACTTTCGATGGAATTTGTGTCAATCTCATCGGAAGGATTAACGAAATCGTACGTACGGTTGCCCATTGACTGTGTTGTGAATACAGCTCAAGAATGACAACTGGTTACACGTTTTTTCCCTTCCGATGAGCCTGTTGTCTAAGCAGTACCTAAATACTAGATTTGGATGGAATTTGCTGCGTGATTCGTGTACAGCACCCATAATTTCGCCTATATTACTACGGACACATCTGACTAGTTGCTCAAGGTAATTAGTTCGTTCACTAGGTAGTTCTGTCTCGGGCAACTATAGTCTAGAGTCACTTTGGTGGCGTGTTAGATGCATACTGCTGAAGAGTCCCAAACTAAGACGAAACAGCTGTCCAGTACTCCCTGATTTTCAGTGGGTTTTTTTAACTGGTGTTATTTTATCATCAATCTGCCAACAGATGAAATCCCTACAAAACTAACTCTTAAAAATAATGATAATAACAATAATAATGACAATAATGAAATATTAGAAATTTGTAGCTAAGATGTGGATAATTTTGATGTTGTCGCGTTCTCTGAGCTGAATCATTCACAACTAAGAAGCTTTCGTTATCTTCCTGGACAATATCTTCAGTGCAAGCTTTAAAATGAAGTGAGGGGGCGAGTTATATTGGCCGTTGCTCTAGAAACCTGATTTTTTGTGCTCTCTAGCGAACATCTCCCACTATGGCTAAGTAAAGGTGTAGTGAAAACCATTAACAGTTCGATATTGGACCATCTGGTGCAAACCGGCCACAAAACCAGCCAGCCCAATGAAGAATCCTTCTCTATCATTTACCGGGTGCCTAATAAATTGCCAAAAACATCAAGGTACCGCATACTCCAAACAGCAGAGACTATTGCGATTCGCCCTAAACAACCAGTGCTCTGTGTGCAGAAGAAGCAAGTCCAGCTAGCCACTACTACTGCCCTGGCCGGCCTTCAGTGAAGACTATAAATTCATGAATTTGTAATGTTATCTTTCCTAATTTTTTCTGACATTCAGTTTATTGTTATGTTGATGCTATTGAACTGTAATCTATTGATGTTATTGTTATTGGTTCGAAGTTATTTAAACAACATTAATGTTGTTCATAACACTAATTCATTCATTCACTACTATTATGTGTATATAACTGTAGAGCCTGATGATGAAGGGGTTATCGAAAAGAGTATTCTTTGTTCAGTATCCATTCTTTTCAAAAAATTTTAATGGGCATTTTTAATCAGTTAGAATTTATTTGAGTTTTCCATGAATGTGATATAATTGTGCCCCCATCCCCCCACGCTTGCCGGACAATCTTTGTTGTGATCAATTGTTAATTTTCATTATAGTATTGTTGTTCTTTTTTATTGACTTGGAAATATGACGCATTTTTGTCATTTGACTTATTCTTTATTAGTTGGCAAATTTAATCTAATAATGGTAATGTGTGCCTGTTAACCGCTGGCCCACTCCTCTGAGTATCAGGTTTCTAAGGTTTCATACGACACGACATATATATATATATATGTATATTCCTGCTTCATATCGATGTATGTAGACAACTAGAGACAGCAATTTTATTGGGAAAAAATGTAGGAATTTTAGACAGTGAAAACATTGAAAATGCCAGAGAATTCCTAGAAGCTTGGTACTCGGACAAATCACTGATTAACAGATGCATTACTTTAGAACAATACATTTAAGTGAACAATATTCTTTTCAATTAGATCTCAACCGGCTTAACTCTAATATACATAACTTTACAAATAGATATTAAAATATAAGTTATAGAGCCATTGAAAACCAGTACTGGAGCACTGGACAGGCATGTTTCCTCCGTCCTAGTTTAGGAGTCATCAGCAGTACACACCCCCACAGGAGGTTCAAACTTAGGACCTTCCAGTTACAAGGTAGGCTTGTAGACCATTCAGCCACTGGTACCAGGCTCAGTGGATAGCAGATGAATTCTGACTTCTATTAATTCGTGATTTTAACGCCACTGGCACCAGACAGTGTCATCGGCTGTGAGAACAAATACTCGCCACGGATGACACTGACTGGTGCCACTTGCGGCAAAATCACGAACTGGTAGAAGTTAGAATTCATGGGCTGGCCATTGAATCGAGTCCCAGTGGCTAAATGGTATATGAGCTTGCCTTGTGACCGGAGAGTCCTGAGTTCGAAACCCCTGTGGTGGACGAGTACTGCCGATGATTCACAAACTAGGACTGAGGAAACAGCTGTCTAGTACTCCAGTGCTGGTTTTCAGTGGTTCTTCAAGTGATATCAATCCGTGGTCTAACTCAAAAGAACAAATCAAGTCCCTACAAAGCAACTCTTGAAAATTAAAATGTAAACCCAATCACAGTGTTTTGTTGGTAGGATAATAAGATTGTGTATATAAATTGTGCAATTAGTCATAATAATAATAATTAGCAATGATAATAGTGATAATAATGATTCTATCAGCAACAAAGATGAAAAAAGTGGAGCGATCTGTGATAACAAGAATAGTGAAAAACAGCAGGTAGACGTGGTAGTCAGTGAAGGCTAAGAAAACCAAATGGACCAATTACGTAATGCTAGACTGTAAAGGAAGTAAATAAAATACGTTTTAATGAAGATGTGATAAGATTAGGGGAGGATAAGAGAGAAGTGGTTGAACGATATAAGTATGGGGTGGTGGAGACGTTATCAGCTGGTTAGGTTGTAATAGGCTAAGGGAGGGATAATGACTGTATAAACTCCTTTTGAATGCATAGTTTAGGCTTAATAGTTCAAATGTCTATCACCTCAGCTGTGTGCAGTAGACGAATACAAAGTCTATTGGAAAGATTCAGTGGGATGAGATGAATTACTACCTTGAATGCGTTCGTTTTCTCCACTACATGACCATTATCAAGTAAATGTGACAAAACGGAGGGTTTTGGTCTATCCTGTGCCAAACCACGATGGGAAATGTTCACTAACGTGTTGGCCAAGTTGTCTGCTAGTACACCCAACATAACTGTCACCTCAGGTGCAGTTGAACTGATAAATGCACATAGATATGGCAGAACTGTCTAGCTTATCCTTCGTTTGAGTCCTTCCTAATCATTCGTCCGCTAAAGAATGACAAACATAGGTTTACTGCATATAAAGTTCTTCGAATACTCCTGGGAAGTCTTTGCAATAAAATCTCATTTGATAAGTCACCATTAAATTGTAACTTTTAATAAAATAGAGATTTTTTTACATGCTGTCATAGTCTCAGATTTTCTCTCCAATGTTTTCATATGTTTCTTTATGAAACTAGTGGGAGAGCCTATCTTCGTCAAGGAATCACTACTTAGTGTAGATCAAATTTGCCAACTAATAAATAACAAGCCGCACAACAAAGAATTCGAATTACGAACCAATAAGGACAAGCAATCCTGCTGCAAATTAACAACCAGTTGCAACAAAAGTTGTCAAGAGATACAATTATGAGTTCGACCACGGATTGATATCAGTTAGAGAACCATTGAGAGCCAGCACTGGAGTACTGGACAGCTGTTTCGTCCCAGTTTGAAAATCATCATCAGTACGCACCCACCACAGGGGTTTCGAACCCAGGACATTCCGGTTACAAGGTAAGCACGTATGCTATCCAGCCAATGGGACCCGATTCAGTGGCTAGCCTATGAATTCTAACTTCTACCAATTCGTGATTTAGGACAACTGGCACCAATCAATGCCATCTGTGGGAAAGCCATCC